ATTTAATTTAAAAAACACTTATATATATATATATATATTACAAATTCTCCTTAATCATTGTGACAAAAAAAATAGTTGGTCTAATTTCTCTCTCCTCCAAATTATTGTTTAGAAATGCAATAATTCGCATGAAGATAATTTTTTCTTTAATAAATATATCTAAACTTTTTTTGTTGGCTTAAGGACACTAAAAATTTCTAAACTTTGCAAAATGAGTCATTATCATCCTTTTCCCTTAAAAAAAATTCATTAAAATCCCTCAACTTTGGAAAAAGGGCAATCATCATCCTCCGTTAACTGCCGTTATAACGCCATCTATTTCCTGATTGAAAGCCTTAAAAGTTTAATGGTAAGATAAAATTGTTGGTTCATTAGCTTTTAGTTCTTGTGCACTTTGATATTCCAACTTTAATATTCAACTTTTCCAAATATTAATAAAATTAAGGTTAGTATAGTAAACTAAAATATATAAAATTTGTTTAAATAAAGTGAAAAATCAGGTTTTTGTTATTCAATTTAGGATTCTTAAAAATTTTAAAAAATGACATTTAACTATCTACATGCACATAATTCATATCAAAAAAAGAAAAATAGAAAGAAAAAAACAACAATATGAACAATAAGCGGTTAAAAAGAAGATTTTTATCTTCTATTTTCCTGTTATATACTCATAATCATACAAATAGTACCCAAAGTTACAATTAATTAATCCATGATGTTTATGCGACCACATTTACCCCACACTCACAAGTCATATTCACGTTATTTGCAACTACATCATTTTGGTTTTAATACTTTGTAGAATTTCAAATTAGGCATCCAAAATTTATTTTTGCACATTGATAATATGAATTTTTTAAATATTTTAATTTACTACTTTTGCATTGATTTTATTAATATTTTAAACAAGTTGAATGTGATTTCATTGGAAATTACATGATTTTTATTATTTGTGTAAAAAAGAATTGAAATGCATCAAATTAGAAAATTTTAAATTCAAGGGAATGTTTCGTTGCCAATATCCTAGAAAATTAAATGCATCGAAGCCGACTTTGTCCCTAATTTTGAATTCGGGAATAATTTGTTAAATAGAGATGTAATTGATTATATTGGGATATAAGAAGTTATATTGCCCATAAGTTGCTTCTCGTTTAAAAAATCCCAAAAAGAATTTTTCTAGACCATATAACTAGTTAAAGCCAATATATGATTGACTATATTAATTATGACCATTTATAATATGTATACTTGTTACATAACCAATTATAATTACTTCTTGATTTTTGTAGCAGGAAATATATAATTCTAGACCAAGTCAACTACAAATTTTTGCCCAGCTTCCTTGCAAATATTTTCCGAGGATATTGACAACCAAACATACCCTAAGTGTAACTATTTTGAATGTTTAGGGACTAAATTGTAATAAGAAAAGTTAAAAATAGGGACCAAATTAAATAGTTTAAAGTTGAGGATCAAAGTGCATACAAACTAAAAGTTAAGAGATCAACAATGTTATTTTATCGTTAAAATTTAGACAGTGGGCTGGATGATGTTATGAGCTCGATGATGGTTGGTTCTTTCTCTAAAGGTGGGAGATTTATATGAATTCTTTTAAAGTTGGGGGATGACAATGATTCTTTTTGTTAAGTTGGAGGATTTTTAGTGACATTAAGCCTCTTTTTAATGGTCCATACTGGTTAATAATTAACCATCAGATGGGGGGCCTACCTCATCTTATCATCTTAATTTTGTAGTTTAAATTGTAAATCTTCAAATTCATGTATCTCAGATGGTTAATGAGTCTCCAATGTTGGTATTTACTGGCTTGCTAATTTATGTTAGATTCTTTTTGTTCCAATTGACTTATGTCACTTGATCAATAAACAACATAACTCAAACGTTTCTGTTTTTTTACTATTAAATCACGTGATTAAATTTGATGATTATATTTAGTATGTATGTAAAGGGCATGTTAAGTGAGATTTTGTATAAAAAATATAACTAAAAAAATATATAGGTTAAATATAAGAAAAAAATTATTTTATTTGTTATCAATTAATTTTAAATTAAATATAAAATTTATATTGAAACTCACGTGTCAATTTTCACCCTTACCAAAAAGAAAAGTAATTAAGGTTTGGCCGCTTAATTAATCACAAGAGAGGATTGCTGAGAATTTAGCACAAAAGCTTGGGTAAAGTTGTAACAGAAGTTTAAGACATGCACAGACTTTGAAACCTTGAGTAACGATGCAGCTGACGAAAACGCGGGACGAAAATGAGGGATGAAAAATAATGTAAGGGGATCAAATTAATAATTATACTACATACATAAATTTTGCATTGTTTGTGGTACCTCATTTTTATTCTTGTGTTTTCGTCCGCTGTATCATTACTCTTTAAGCCTCAGCCATAAGACAAGCAAGTAGTGCAAATCTCAAAATGGTGATGAAAAGCCGGTTTCATCACGTGAAAACGGATAAGGAGGTACAAGTACAACTGCCCACTTAGCCTCTATTCATTTTTTTGGCCAGACACCCAGGGCCAGTTCTTCTGTTGTCTCATATTAATTTCTGGCCTTTTTTTTGGTTTAAGTACCATTTTGGTCCCTCAACTTTTTACTTTGGTACCAAAATTGTCCCTCACCTTTAAAAAGTACCAAAATTATCTTTAAACTTTCATTTTTGATACCAAAACCGTCCTTCCGTCAGTTAAATGGATAGGTGGCACATTAACTTGCCAGCAAATCAATTTTTTTTTCTTAAGTAATGACATGGCACCTTTTTTTTTGAGTTGGCATTTTATTTTATTTTATTTAAAAATAATGATTTTTTTTTCCATCCATCTCATCTCGTCTTCCTCTTTCACTTTCTCTCTCTTGTCGCTTCTTCTTCCTCTCCAAATCAAACCCAGATCTGGGTTTTTCTTAAACTCAGATGACTCCTTCGATACCACTAAAACACAACAAAAGAGAAACTAAATCACAGTCTAACAATAAAACCTCCATATCATCTCTTCTTCCTCTTTCACTTTCTCTCTCTCTTGTCCCTTCCTCTTCCTCTCCAAATAAAACCCAGATCTGGGTTTTTCTCAAACCCAAATGACTCCTCTGACACCATTGAAACGCAACAAAGAGAAACTAAATCACAATTTAAAAAAAAACCTCAAATACATATTCGAATTTCACCAAACCAAGTCAACTCACATGGATGCAAATAAATCAAAAAGAAACAGTACCGAACCACTGGAGACTCGATATGTAGCAAACCAAAACCTAAAATGCTAGCGAAATCAACACAGAAACCAGCGAACACTGGTTTAAAGAGAACCAAAAATTCTAGTTCCAGTTCCATCAAGACAAAGAAAAATAGCAAAATCAGGACCAAAAATCAAGTACAAGAGTTTGAAAAAACAGAACAAAAACCACGAGTTCAAAAAAACAAAACAAAAACCACAAAAGTTCAAAAAAAACAGAACAAAAATGAAGCTCTCATCAGTGGCTAGCTCGTTGTTCGAGTCTGCAGTGAGCTAGATCCTGACGCATGTTACTGGGCGACGGCCGCCAAATCTGGGAATTCCAGCGTGCAGCTCGGTAGATTTGCGTAGGGAGCAAGGAGTTGCGAGACCCGCAGGCAAGCGGGCAACACATAGAAACAGGAAAAAAAGAAAACAAATAGAAAACAAAAACCCAAAAAAGGCACCCGAAGGGCCTAGTCGCCGATAGACCTCATGGGGTCATCGGAGCAGGAAGCAGGTCTGCTCCATCAGGCTTGAGCAGCTGGAGAACCCGGCAGCTCAAGCAGCAAAACTCGAAAACCTGGCCGGAGTGGACATGCCATCAATTGTCCTTACTGGGTTGAAAGAACCCACATTTGGGTTTGATCAAACCCAGATCTGGAGAGGAAGAAGAAGAGGGGAAGAGAGGAGATAGAGAAAGAATAAGAAAAGTTAAAAAAAAAGTCATGTGGGCCCCATTAAAAGGGAAAGTTTAAAAGGTGATAATATGATGTGTAAAAAAATATGCCACATGTACAAGAAAAAAAATGCCATGGTAACAAAATTTTCATAGTTGGATTTACACGTCATTAAGATTAAAAAAGTCTAATGATTTTGTGGCATTTTAATGAGCCACCTGTCATTTAACTGACGGAAGGACCATTTTGGTACCAAAAATGAAAGTCTGAGGATAATTTTGGTGCTTTTTAAAGCTGAGGGACAATTTTAGTATCAAAGTGAAAAGTTAAGGGACCAAAATGGTACTTAAACCTTTTTTTTTGTCACGCCAGCCACATGCCGCTTCTGCAATAAGCAAAATTATATATCAAGTCCCTTAACTTATTAAACTTTGCAAAATAAGGTAATTTGGCTCTCACATAAATAAGCAATCTTATAATATATTTGAGTTGAAGGCAAAAAAGTAAATATCGTACCGTACTGGTTGGTACGGTCTGTACGTATCAATTTTTAAAGTTGATCGAAATGGTATAATATTAATTTTTATTTTGGTCAAAATTTGATGTACTAGCGAAATTTCAGTATACCGATCAATTCATCGAAATTTTGGCCGGTACACACTAACAAATTTAAAAAAAAAAAAAAGGATTCCCTGGCCCAAAACAACGTAGTCCATACAACTCAATTCAAATTTAAAAAGGGTAAATTTTATTTTTGGTCCTCAACTTTAATGTTATATATAGTTTTCATCCTTTAACTTTTTAATGTACTTTTTAGTCCATTTTTCTTTTTTTTTTTAGTCTTTTTATCAATTATTT